CAGCAGCAGGGTGCAGGTCCATGTCCCACCAGTGCCAGGGCTGGGCGCGGGCTGCCGACGAGGCTGGAGCTGATGTGGGGCTCATGGACCCTGGTCAGGGGATGGGTTGCCTGGGAAGGGCAGGGCAGGGCTGCCTGTGCCCCCTGGCCCTGACATGAGGTCTGTTTTGACCAAGAGCACAGGAGGAGCCCCTCGGGAGTCAGGGCAGCAGGGAGGGCCGGCAAATTTCCCTGGATACTCGCTAACCTCCAAACAGGTGGTGCTGTAAAGACATGCTGCAGGATTGCCACTATTGCAGTGCTGCCATCCAAGGGCTGCATAATGCCCAGATGTGGTTGTACTCTGGGTCACAGAAAGACAAGAAAAATGTCTAGTGATAACCTCGCTAGACCTCACTGTTGTATGTGAGGTACCATGATTTAGATTGATTATTGTAAAATAAAAAATCCCACTTGTACACTGCATTGCCGCAGCACACCATTCTGGTGATGCTGTGTATCTCCCTCGCAGAGCACAGCAAGCCCAGTCCATCCTCGCAGCCAGGAGGAGCTTATGTGAAACTCTGGGGAATGTCAGAATACTTACTCTGGCTCTGTGAGAGGAGTTGTCTCATTTGGCTCATTTACTGGACTCCCATCTTCATGATTGGTAATTCTTTCATCCTCTGTTCTCATTTCCACTATTGGTTCTTTTGATCCATCTTTCCTAAAAATCATTAAAAGCGTCTTAGTCTCATATCATCATATTAACCACATACATTGCACATAACTAATTACCAAGATCCCTTCTCTCAAAAGTCGGCAAAGAAAAGGCAGAACTAATTATCAGCGACTAACACCACCGAGATGCATTTAACAGCGTGTTCCCAATTCCTTGAAGTCTTCAAAGCATCCTGTATCCATGGTTACTTACCTAACTCTGCAAACATTATGGATTAGCATCTCAAAAGAGCTTTTTGTTTATGACTAAATAATAAGACGATGGCCTCTTCATGGGAATAGCTGTAAACTTTCCTAAGCTAGTATAACAAATATAGGACTTGATGCTTAGTTATACTCGAACTTTTCCGGCAGTGTATATAGCCTTTGTTTTAGTATACATACTGCAGAAGTGTACTTTAGTCTCCTGAGGCTGTGACAATCCCAGCTGCCAGAACAGGGTAAAAAGCCCTTGTGTGATAAGAATCTAGCCCCTTCTGCTCACACTGGTAGAAGAAACTTTGTTTCTATGTAATATTTCCCTAATTTCAGGAACAAATACTAGTCTCTCATATGTAAGTAAATGAATAACCTTTGTGCCAATTGGACAATGAATTGTAAGGAAGATGGAGCAGTGAGTATTGTCATTATGCTTTTGTTGATAATCATAGAATGATAGAATGAATCATAGAATAGTTTGGGTTGGAAGGGACTTTTAAAGGTCACCTAGTACAACCCCCTATCTTCATGCTCAGAGACCCATCCAACCTGACCTTGAATGTTTCCAGGGATGTGGCATCTAGCACCTCTCTGGGCAACCTGTTCCAGTGTTTCCCCACCCTCATCATAAAACATTTCTTCCTTATGTCCAATCTAAATCTAACCTCTTTCAGTTAAAAATCATTTTCCCTTGTATCGCTACAGGCCCTACTAAAAAGTCTGTCCCCATCTTTCTTATAAGCCCCCTTTAAGTACTGAAAGGCCACAGTAAGGTCTCCCTGGAGCCTTTTCCACTCCAGGCTGAACAACCCCAACTCTCTCAGCCTGGCCTCATAGGAGAGGTGCTCCAGCCCTCTGATCAGCTTCGTGGCCCTCCTCTGGACTTGCTCCAACAGCTCCATGTCTCTCCTGTACTGGGGACCCCAGAGCTGGACGCAGTACTCCAGGTGGGGTCTCACGAGAGCAGATTAGAGGGTCAGAATCACCTCCCTTGACCTGCTGGTCACACCTCTTTTATTGTAGCCCAGAATATGGTTGCCTTTCTGGGCTACAAGAGCACATTGCCAGTTCATGTCTGGCTTTTCATCCACCAGTACCCCCAAGTCCCTCTCCACAGGGCTGTTCTCAATACTATGGCCATGATATGGAAATAGCTGCTTACTGCTACAGAAGTATTAACAATATTAGTACTAATTAACTTGCATAAAATTTTACTCTCAAAAGGCAGATCAAAGGATACCCAAGATATATCTGATATTTAAAAAATAAAACCTCTTTCTGTGTAAATATTTTATCTCTATTCCTGTCATCAGATCAAGAATTGTATCCTGGAACTTTATCAGCTGCAGTCTGGAAACACAGGGTAACTGAGTTACAGATGAACAATTAGTTTTGTATTTAACAGACTATTTCCTGGACCTGTGAAGATGTAGAGAGCAGTCAGACTGCTATGTGCCATAGCAAAGACCTACTTAAACCCTTGTCTAATTCATATCTCATATTGTTCCTGAGAAGATAATTGTTAAACTACAATAATCGATCTGTCCAGGAAGTACCTGGAAAACTCTACCATCCTCTGGTAGGTATGCTCAAGGAAAAATCTTTGTATATTAATAAGAGATAAATATGTAGCCAAGAAGTTGACTAAGGAAGAATTAATGGGTAGAAATCTAAAAGATTCTGGTTATTTTTTTTAAAAAACCTACATGTGCTTATTCACCTCTGGAAGTGAAATTCTACTTTAAGATACACAAATGGATACAATGCTCATTTCTGTAGATGATGCACATATCTCATGGCTACCTCCTATCCGTGAAAAGACAAGACAGTAAAAGAGAGAATGGCAAGTTCTTCTTGGTTTGTCTGTACATCTACAGTCTTATGGATAAACACACCTTATTGCATAACCAAAGCCTAAAAAAGACACTATTCATGAACAGCTTTCACATAGGATTAAGGAATTGATCTGTACATAAAGTACAAACTGCGTAGCAATTAAAAATTCCACAGAAGGGAAAGTAATTTGTAGGAAACACATTATGTCAGTTCTGTTCCAGGTGGCTGTGTGTATAATACATGCATTGTATCATCTACATTCATTGCATGTGGAACATGATTAATGACCATATATATCCTACAATCAAAATGTAACAAAGAACCATGCCATAAACCCACTCAAAAATCCAGAATGCGAACTGACATATTTTAAACAGAGAAATGTCAGTGTCTTTTAGGGAATGGCAGTTGGCATGAAATAAATTCAAATTTTGACTCTTCAAGTCTGTCTTAAAATTTTAGCCTGACAGTTTATTTATGCAGAGAACAGGCTAAAATAAGAACAGTCCTAAATATTTTAAGATCTGACTGACTGAAGATCACCCCAACAAGAACAGAAATATAATTAAATAAGATACTTGTTCCTGCAAAATAAGTGTCATGGAGGAATTAATATTAAGTGACGAGCTTTATGCTTTCCTGCGATAGCATGGAATGGCATTTGGGTATGAGATGTTAATAGCAAGGTATAAACTACTACGAAGCAACATTTGCAACTTCAGCTCCCTAAGGTCTTCCCATTCAGGAGGGTCTGTATACCAATGTGTACTCGGTCACTTCCTGAATGGGAAATTAAAGCATAAACTGAAGTGCTGTGCTCAATAGGAAAGGACAGCTCAGTCAGAGCCAGAAGCTTCACATCTTGATTCTATTGACCTGGACACACTGCCTCCACATGATAGAAAGAATGCTGTTATTCTTTCTCTTACTGTAAGCTGTGGAGAATTAGGAAATAGCTGGTTTATGGCATGACTTCTATCAGAAGCATTATTTGATGTAAAGACTGTGTGTCTGCTTATGATTGGTTTTATTTTACAGAGCTGTTCAAAAAAGGGTTGAGAACCCAACCAAGAAATGTAATCAGTTACCTAAGAAAGACAGCCTCTGAATTCCAATAGCCAGAACTAAAACCAAAAAAGAGACACTTACACCTCTACTACTGACAATGAAAAAGCCCAAAACAGCTATGAATAATGAGGGCTACAAAATCTGATTTGCTCTACGGGCTTTCGGGGAAGGATGGGATCTGGGAAGCTGCAGGAGAATGAAATGCAAGGCCCAACTACTGGGACAGCTACAACACACAGTAAGTGTTAATTAAACCACAGAAAGACAGCATTGTCACAGATATTACAGTGTATACATAAGAAGTCTATCAGATGAAAATAATAAGGAAAAGATGCATTTTTTAGTTAAAAAAAGGAACTGCCTAAAATGAGGGACCGTAAGTAATCCTCTCTCCAGCTTACCATTTGAAAATCCTGTAAACGTTGGGTATTTAAAGCACTATTATTTTATGCAATATGTACTTGAACTATTTTGCCAGAGATCTCACTATCCACTCATATCATTTAAGGAAACATATTTGCACGTAAATGATCAGTTCATTTGCATTTGTCTGATGAAGTAGCCACTATACAAGGGTATCTGAGAGAATCAGGATTGTTTTTTCCCCACTTATGCTTAGCAATCATTAATCGTTGCTATGAAGAACAATCACGCTAACCAGCATCTTACCCACATCCAACTCAGCACTCTTATTTTTAAGAATCAACAATACTTTTTATTCCTAAAGTCTATGGGCAAGAAACGAGATTTTCCATCAAGTCCTGTAGCTGAGAAAAAAATTCTTTCACGGATTTTTCCAGAATACCATGTCCTTTACTTCCCAATTTACTGCCACTGCCACAATCATATGCTGAGGTTTTGGGTATTAGCAGCTCAAAGATGGATTAGTAGAAATGGAGTTACAATGATCTGTTACCTGTTCCTCATGAACCACAGATGTGTCTACAACTATTGCTGAATTACGATTGATTTCCTTTGTGTCAAGCTGCAGAAAGAGGACTTCTTAAAGTGAGGTATAGCAAATGCCTTTTTTTCTGTTCATTTTTCTTTTAAGGTACCATTTGACCATAAACAATTCTATACATTTCAGGGGAACACTTTTCCAAGTAATAGAAACATTTTATTAATTCCTTTTGCCACACCACAGAATGGCTATAAAGTTAAAAAAATTGGACAGACAACTTTTTCTTTTAATAACATTTCCAAAATAGATGATTAATACTCACAAGTAAGCAGCCTTTCCTTCTTCCAGTTCTTTACTTTTTCCACTCGAACCACTCTTTTTGCCACAGATCCTCCTGGTGATGCACATTAGCAATCCACATTGTCGTACAAAGAAGCAGCTAACATCAGTCACAACCAGGATTAACAAAAGGGCTGCCACGCCCAGGCCAATGACAGCACCAAGTCCAAGACCATTAAAAAGAGTGTCTTGAAAGAAAGAAAATTAAAATATATTAATAAAATTAATCCCAAATAACAGTATTTTCTAAAGTTTTTAAGCTGTAGGCCAGGAAGCTAAAGGATGTTTAAAAATGAACCATTCAGAAATTAATGGAAATAAACAGTCCTGAAGATTAAGCATATCTACAACTTGATTAAAAAAAATCACAAAAAAAAACCCCTTTTCTATATATTTTCCCATAGCCAAAATTCCAATATAGTCACAGAGCATAAATTGCATTATTTAATAAGAAATAACATCACATCTTAACATTCCAAGACTGAGAGTATCAGTATGCAGCCTAAGAAAAACATTTTAAGTGTTCAGCATAGTAACAGTTGCTGTAAGATGTCATTTTTCCACATTTCAAAAATAATTAATTAGCAGTGGTGCTAAGCAGAATTACTGAAAGGTTTAAGAGAGTGCTAAAACAGTATTTATTCTTCTAAAGGTCATTTTTTGAATTCAAGTAGAATGAAAAATTCTTCAAAGAAGTTAATTCAAGCAATTTACTTTGCAAACACTTGCACACACTTACTCTTAAATAAATTAGTATGAGGAAAACTATACATATTATTAAATCATTATAGGGTTAGGACCTCATTTTGTATAGTCTTGTACCTTGAAAATACATTCATAGACTTCTAAATAAACGTATTCCACACTTGATCTTGCTTTCTGTATTTGTATTATGAAAGCTGATGCTTAGCTAATTTTACTTCATTACAAATCTCAGAAAAATGTTTTAACTCAGTTGACATTTCCATAATAGACAAAAATGTTTCAGATGGTTTTGAGTACTGTGATTCTGAGAAGAACAAAAAATACTGTGTTTCTGAACTTAGATGACCCTTATAAAGGAGAGGACTTGTATTTGATCGATAAGCTAGGGGAAAAAAAAGCGCCACCTCAGTAATGGTTCCTGCACCCAGCTAGTTCCAGGTGTCCGTCCAGCTCAGAAATTGGCCTGTGACAATTGCCTGGCGTGATGCTATGTCCTGAGCAAACTCCGCAGGGGAGTGGAGCTGGGTTTTTTCACGTTGGCGTTGCACATCAGTATCGCGTACTTAGTGTTACCATGCCTTGGAGTGATGCATGAGTCAGTCGGCAGCGCAGTGGTACGTTTCCACTGTATCTACGCCTGGTGCCAAAACAAGAGCTAGATTTTTCTGACAGTAGATTGCTTGAATACTGTCATAGCAGACACCAAACTTAATATGATATAATGCAATATAAAAGTTTTAATGGGGCTACTACTATCATGTTCTTTCTCTTCCACCTCCATGACAGATGACTGTTTTCAGATTAAGAATGCCATTTAAGCTTTCATATTTCTGCTTAACTAATTTTAAAGAAAATATCTATTTACTTTTTCAAATATAATTTGAAAATTATTTCCTTGAGGACTTCTAAATCAATACATACTAACAGAAATACATGCTTTGTTAGTCTATGTGATAGAACTCTTAAATGGAAAATAAAAACTTTTTTAAAAGAAAGGGAACAATTTACTTCTTATGCAATCAATTTCATTGCCTATTGTACGGGTTGTTTTATCATAGAACTGCTCTTCAAAATATGATTATGTAATAAGCCAGAATTCAATGTATATATTTACATGGATGGATAGGCAGATAAACAGACAGATATTACTTCAAAGTTATTTTGCTTTCTCCAGAAAGACTTAAAAAATACTATATCAATAACAAAAATAATGGCACAGCAATGAAATTACGCATCATTTATGCATTGCCCCATCAGCAATGTTGGAAGTTGACATTTCACATGAGTTAATTTTCTTTCCTTTTAACTTAATCATTCCTAGTTAAATATTGCAAGTATAATTTCCAATACATCTTCCAAAACTTACTTTATCCATACATCCACCTATCTATTTGATGACTGCCTTTCTAAACTTCAGTCACTTGTGTTTATCAATCTGAATTGTCAGGAAGATATAAATAGATATTTAATTCCAGTTTACTGAAAAGTACATATGTTTCAACAGATATAATACCAGTACCTATGGAGTCCAGTTCTAGAGACCTCATACAGCAAAGTTTTCCTCTCGATACCTTCTTAACCACTAAATAGAAGTGTGGAGGAGAAAAAATAGGGGGGTTAAATCCATATTTTTGGAGAGATTTGGGATTATTTTGTCACTGTTGACATTTTTGGACTTTTTTTTTTTTCTTTTTTTAATGCAGTGTCTACCATGGGGAGATGATATGTTTTTTTACTGATATAAACAGCATTTCTGGTGCCACTGGAACATTGTGATGTGGCAAGCTTCCCACTCCAAATGATTCAGTGCCAGAAAAGCCTACACAATATTTTCACTGGCAAGTGAAGGAAATGTTTATAGTAATGATATTACTCCTTTGCACAATGATATTCGTACTTGTTTGCCATAGTTGTGGGGAAGACTTTGTTTTTCATTTTTAATCTTCTTGGTATTGGTGAGACATCTGAGACCTAAGTATTTGACTATTACATATTTTTCTGTTTATGATTGATAACTTCCTTTTCATTCAGCATTCCCCATCCTTACTACTACCCTACTTTTCCCAAGTCCTATTTTGCCTACTTGCAACCCATTTATTCATACAGGTTTCTGTTTCATGACATTTCAAAGCCTGATTTCTTACGACTGACAATACTTTTCCAAAGTCTCTCTCCTTTACCTCCCACACCCCAAAGAGTGACAGGAACGTGGCCCCATCCTGCGGCGGGGCGAGGAGCACGGCTGACGTCAGCCTTCGTGCCTGTCTTAGGCTCTTTATGCACTTTCTTCTGAAGGCAGGCAGAAATCGGACTGTCTTGTTTTAAAAGTATCTGTGTTATGATTTATTTTCAATATTATATACAATTGATTTTTTAAAAGTTAATCTTTGGCTTCATTCCATTCTTTCTTAAATTACTGGGACTTTGTACCAGTCTATCTGCTCGCGCAGAAGTCAGTTGTAAAACTAATGCCAATTGCTATTAAAGCAGACTTAGGCCTGTCCTGAGTGCTTTCAAAAATCAGATCCCAGGTATTTTGATATCTATGGTATCAAAACAATGTGAAATTTTGTGTTAATATCTTATGACATCAACAGAAGTACTAATTCTGTGACTAAATGAAAGGTTAATGTCATACTACGTATAGCCTTTCAACCAAATTTGAAAAACACCTTTGTTATCAAAAACCTCTGCCCTAAATTAAATTCGGATTAGCTTTACTGTTACAATTTTTAAACAATACAAAAAATACATTATAAGCAGCAATGATTTTAAATGTTTTTTTTTTACAGTGTTCCAGTATGTACCAAATGGACTCAAAATACTAGTTCCGCTTTGTGCTCTACAACAATAAAGTATTTATATATTATATAACTTCTTTTTCTAGTTGAAAACACACTTAATTTCAATAATAAAAATTCAATATTACTGTGAGAGAATCAGTTCCTAACAATTTTGTGAAAAGGTTTATTGTATACCTGTCTTAGTAATCTAATCATAGTTGAGCCTTTTAAAACACTGCGAGAAAAAAAAAAAGTGTAAATTCCATAGTTCTGAATGAGTTTTAATTATAACTTGTCAAAAATATGCTAAATTTAAAATAATATGCTTTTTGTTATATAGAATGTGGCATAAATAATATAATACACCTTGCCATGATATTGAAGGAAACTGCTGACTTTAAACAAAGTCACTTCATTCATGCACTTGTTCAAATAAGTGCTTATGGAAATAAGATTACAAAACTTTCAGAAATGCAATAAAAAAAATTTAAGCAAGTTTCTGTAAATCTCATGGAAAGTACTGGTAATTTTCAAGTTCTCACTCATTCAATAAGTTGTATTTCTGACTTCTAATAAAATAATTTAACATTTTTGCACAAATCATGATTTTAGTAAGGGGAAAGAGCAATTAAGAGCTTTCACAAGTAAAACAGAATTTCCCAGTGAAGAGAACTAACTGGAAAGATAAATTTTCTGGACCCTCAAATGTAAATTCAGTGTGAATTCCTTTGAGGGGTCTGTATCAGCTAGTCCAAAGGGAAGTAAGTTTAAAGAGAGAGCCAGCGTCTACATATATACACAGAGTGTACAGGTACACTTTGTACATGGAAAACTAAAGCTATTGCTTCTGCACAAAGAGACAGGTACTTAATATGCAACATTAATATATTCAGACTGACATTACATGTATGTATGTCCTTCGATGTGACAGAGTTTCTCTGTACTCTTACTGAATCACATTGTATATATTCAATTGTGGGTACAATAAAATAATAATTGCAAGTGTTATAATAAGTACTCTGTTTGAGCAGGGGGTTTGGACCTCCAGATGTCACTTCCAACCTCAACCATTCAGGGATTCTGAGTTTTGTCGAAAAGCAAAAGGAAGTTAGCATCTTTTTGTGCCTTTCTTCCCTTCCTCTCCTCCTTAGCAGGCATGAGTTAAAGGAAAGATGAAAGATAGATAATTCTACATAGCTCTTAACCTTTTACAGTCATGTAAATTTTTAAGGGAGAAAGAAATAACATAAAATACTTTCCTATGCTCGTAGGGTAGCACCTGGTAGCTATATTTGAATGGGTGTGAATGAATGTGCAGGGATATTATATATGTTCATCCTTTCTTTCAAGTCAGTCTGAAACTAAGGTAGGAACTGCTCTCGAGCTGAAGTAGTTGAAAATTATGAGCTAGAGGAGGAATTTGAAAATGCTGCACTGGGTAATGGCAGAAAAAAAAGCATGCTCTTGTTTATCATCTTCGTGAACTTCCCTGTTGTATTGACTCTTATAAAGCCTGTCCAACCCTGATGGTTATTTCTGCACTGCCTATCAACCTTGACTTTGATTTTATATCTGATCTGGACCTTTTCTTAGAATCAAAGGCTTACAAGATTTATATACTTACTCAAAACCTCTAAAAAGATAGAAAACATAGGTCTTGAAAATTAGTATCCATTGAGGAGCAGCCAAACAATCATAAT